GGTCCAAGGAAAATAGTATGATTTGTAATTCGCCAAAATGTAAAGAAATTATTTTTCGCTAAAAGGTTTTATTCAGGATTTTGCGCAAGTTAATAACATTCCGCAATGCACGAAGCTATAGACTCAGATCTCACGGTTATACAAAACTTCATGGACAAATGCTTTAAAAGTAAATACACATCTTAGAGAATGGACATTCGAGAACTTTTAGAAAAGACAGATAAGAAGATTTTTAAGGTACGTTCAATGGATCCCGATTGCACGCTTAGTAACATCATTCCCAAGAAGAAAAAAACAAAGTACCAACTCAGAAACAAAAGTGCTCATCGCCCGGATATAGAGACTGACAGATTTAAGAATGTTTTTGTAAATAGGCTTATCTTTAAATATAATCTTCGATCTTTCTATTATTTAATATAGTATATCTTATACAAATACATGTATATATATATACATACATACAGTATGCCTTATGTATTTTTAGACACCATAATGCTGATATAACTGAAGATATGTCTTTTTATCCTAGGAGGAATAAAGATTGATTGATGGAAGATTGATTGATTGCAAGTTAACACTGACTCACACAAAGCGTGGCGCTTTCATGGATTAATCGTTTGCTTTTTCTCGAGATGTGGGCTTGGGACGTCTTTGTTCACACGAATCTGCAAACGAACCATCGCAAGAATCCATGCATCTCTTTGTCATTTTTCTTTCGACATATTAACGAGTAAAGTTAGAAATTAACCAAGCGCCAATCTTGATTAGTCGATGCGTTCTCGTGGGAAGTCCTAATTCGCGGTAAATTCAAACTTAAAATAGACTTGCGTGTGAAACGCCGTGACAGAAAAAAAAACGGCAGTTGAACGCTCAAAGTAATGGGCTCCTGACTGCTTTTAGGAGTCGCTCCTTGTTAAGAACATTACTTGCTGTTTAATAAAGTAGTTGAGTTTGTGGGATTGTAGCGTTTTTCTGTCGGTTAGATTATACCGAAACACTCTAATAAACAGAAGCTGACGTTAGAACTACCATCCTGCCATTGATTCCATCCGGGAGTAAATGCTAAAAGCCTACTTTGAGTCACTACTGACTGACTTCTGCATGACTATCTCTACAACGGCTACTACCCTACCTGATTGAACAAGGATGATTGTGTTTGTGCAGAGTGGTATTTTTTCAACACAGTTATGGCTTGGAACAAAAAGGGTATTAGTAGAATTATGAACGTCACCAAATTGTGTTAAAAAATAAATAGATTTTTAACCAAAACGAAGTCGTTACGAATAACAGCCCACAACATCATAACTTTGCATATACCTTCTGCATGATTTTGCCATGCGTTTCTCTTGTTTTTTTTTGAGTACCGCACAATTGCCGCGATCAAGTAGAAGACATAGTTCTTCTTTTAACTGAAAGCGAAATTCGTTGAAGGACATCTCATAAGATAAAGTAATATCACGTGGTGATAAGATCATTTTCACGCCGATTTCTGTCGGTCGGAATGCACTATACGAGTTCATTGGCATATTCATCGAGCTTTTTTTTTTACGTTCAAAGAAGAATTTTAAAACAAAGTAGAAGAGGTTTAGAGTAGAGTAGCTTCTTTCATCCTCGCCATCAATTAAAGACACAAGGTGACATATGTAAGTTAAATATTACTATGAATTTACAAACTAAAACATGTTAAGAAATTAAATATATTGATCTGTTATTTCGGTACGTGAATAGCATCATCTGTTTTCCATGTTAGGGTGAGAAAACATTTTGAGATCCTTCTGGTCTGGATGGAAGTATTCGAGATCATTTGCCTTTAATTTTTTTAACTGCTTATAGCAGATGTTTCTTACGTTACTGAGGGTCTTAATGTCTCGAAACATGACACAGGGAAAAGCAAATATTATTCACTTAATTTAAAACGAGCCTTCGTTTGTCAATTCATCAGTTTATCGATAGAGGCCAAGTACAAACGAATAAAACATAATTTAAATATGTCACCCATATTCTCTAATTAACAACATGGATAAAAGAAACAAATTTACTATAAATGTCCTCTCCTCAGCTCAAACTCCACAGTCAATTTCAACATAGACTAACTGAATATGCTAAAGAGCTCGTAACGTGCATACTAATCGGCTGAAATTGTCGCGGAAATAAATTCATAGGCATGTAGTGAAAATTTACCTAATGTACTCTCTATCGATAACTTTCCCTCTCAGTCAACCCATGAAATGAAAGTTTTAATTCACCCCAGCTACATTAAATCCCTTTAAAATCTCGAGAAAAATAAAAAAAAACCTTGTAGCATCGTGGGCCATATTTATTGACTTTCCTTTCCTTTCAAGTAACAGTCCAGCTCCACAACAAGTTCATAAAGTCCTTATTCGTGATATTTTTTTTGATGAATCACCTTGACAAACTCTGCCAAATTCACGACAAATTTAAAGGCAAACTAAAATTAAAGCAACAGAAGTAGAGCGATGTGTACTTCACGGCCAAATAAATATAGGGAAAAGACTGCCACATTAATCGATGACAATGTATGATAGTTTGTGTTCAAACACGCGTCATGTATGAGACAATTATCAACTATCATGAACGTTTGCCTATTGTTAAACTGAATGGCGTTAGCCTTTAATCTTCTCAAGTGATGGTGTTTCCACAAGGCGTTTCTTGTGTACCATATAAGAATTCGTTCCTTTTTCCGAACCATTGAAAGCTTAATTTGTCCTCTAGCAATACAATGTTAGGGCTAAAAGTATAGAACATCGCTATACCCTTATTTAATCATAACACACGGAATTTTATATTAGTTTCTTTCGCCTTTTTCTAAATTTCCTGTCTACTCTTTCCTTCTTTTCACTTCAATTTTTAAGCTTTTGGCCAAAATCTCTCTAAAGGACCATTCTTTTCTTGCATAACTCAAGAATACGAGACATTGATACTTGTGAGGGTTATAACGATCGGGGAACTTTGTTTTCTAATGAACCCTTAGATTTTTTGCAAGGCCTTGCGAAAAAATTGTTTCGATTTAATTCAAGGTTAGAACTCTTTCATCCGTTTGCCTACAAGAAAAAAGCTTCGCTGTCTTTAAAACTGCCGTTCTGAGCTCGGTCATACGCCAACAATACAAAAATGGATTGATGGAAGAGTTCATGAATGCTACAGTGACTGGGAAAGTCCGTATAACTTGTAGATCTAAACTAGTAAAACCTGAAATAATTACAACAATTGAAAATGGAGAGTAACATAAAATCATCGTTAGGAAATATATAAAAATATTTTTTGCACTCTTAGTTGATTGTCGTATTTGCTGTTTATGTGTGTCAGTTGAATTTTCCACTACTTGTTGTTGAACGTGAATTTGCAACTGATGCCGACGTGCAATTCGGTAAATCTTGATGAAACAAACCAAGCAAACTAAAAGGCAAATTGTGATACAAAACGTTGCAAAAAAATAATAAATACTCAGCGACCAAAGAATTGAAAAAGAGAACAACGTGATAATACACCAAATAGTTATTATTGTATAGATTGCCCGGCTTGTTGTCATTAAATTTGGGTACTGCAGGTGATAGTGGAGAGCTAAGAAACGATCCACTGTTATGGCTGTCATCGTGCAAAGAGAGACACCGCACCCAACAAATCCCATTGCTCCTACTGCTTTTTGTAGTGTTGGGACAGTTCTCACTATTTGTTCTGCTATATAAGCTGGTTGTACCACCAATCCCACAAGAAGATCTGAAACAGCCAAACTGCAGAGAAAAATGACAGACGGTGAACGAATTGATGGCGTCCTCATTATGGCGACTAACAGAAGAGCGTTACCAATGATTGATAGTAACATTAAAGGTGCATTGAGGATGCAGTTTGCAAGAACTACTGTCTCAAAACCACTCTTGGGATTAGCCTCTGCGTTGCTGGAATAGTTCGCTTTAAACTTGCTCGTCATCATTGTGAAAATAATTGAAGGTTTTGTTCAGCGTTTGATGGAATATCTGAAGGAAGGATAATGATAACTCATTTGAATATGGCCTTTTGGAAAAAAAACAAATATTATTTTAGATTCAAATTGGGCCTGCTGTCAGCGAAGATGTTTTCCACAAAATCCAGGTCATAACTGTGTCTGCAAATAACGCACTAAATTCACGTTATATCCACTTTGAGGTGACTGATAGCTGCAAAAAGCGAAGCGTTAAAGTATTATGATTTAGTATTAGAGGAGGTGATATGCATTTCTTTTAATCGCAGCATTCATATTAATATCAATAAAAAGTGTCACGAATAAGATCGCAGCGCACATTGGAAAGGGTGGGTGTAATTCCGTGCAATATGCAAATGATATCCTGTTTTCTGATTGACTGTAGATTCTATGGTATGATTTGAAAACTGTGTATCAAAAAGAACCAGAAAACTACAAACAGTAGATTCTAGGAACCTTAACTATAATTACAAAGAATAAAGGAAATTAACATGCATAGGAAAACGATAACTTGCTGTCTTTGTTTCTCTCATTATTTTAATTTAGATTCATCTGTTATCTTTATTATAGTGTAGTTTCTTGTGTTTCCCAGTTTGGATAAAAAGTCATTATATGCAGATTACATGCTGATCAGCAGAATAACGTTTTTAGATCCCTTTTATTTGGTTGGAAGTATTCGAGATCGTTTCAGCTTAGTTTGAATTTTGTAAACTGCCTATAACAGATGTTTTGCTACTCAGTTAATGTTCTTAATATTTAGACACACGGCTCAGAGAAAGACAACATTACTTAATGTCATAATTTGTTTTCGTTTTTCAATTCTTCATCACTTTATTGAGAGAGAAGCCATGCAAGGACAAGCAAAACCTAACCAGAAAAAGTTACTCTACAATAACCTGTTTTCCTTTGTTTTTTAACTCTTCTTCCAACGTTGAAATAACTTGATAAATATGCCGATGAGCTCGCACAGCTGAAATTGACGTGGAAGTAAATTCACGACCATGTGGTAATAATTTGCAATTGGTGACTGAGTGGGAGGGCCACTCAGTAAAATGTTGGGCTTGAGGTCATGACGCAGGGACCGAGCACAGCGAGGTTCGTGCGTCATGACCGAGGCAACAGAACTGCACCCTATTTATAATTTCCACCCGTGTTACAACTTTGCATGACACATGAAAAATGCCTCGTTTTCAGCCAATCAGACGCGCGTAATATTTCTATGTTTACAAACGTAACCAAGAATTCGCGAAGAACATACCCAATGAATCTGCTTGCCCATGGTAAAATATATGGCGTCAGGCTCGGTTGATTACATTAACTGATTTGGTTTTATCAAGGCATTTGATACAGGCAGAAAAGACTGTAAGATTATATATGTGTTATTGACCAGGCGCGAGGTCAAGATGATCGGATTTACCCGAGTTCTTTTTTCTTTTCTTTTTTTTTTTTTTTTTGCGTTTTTTATGGACCAAGGCGTGGTCGAAAAAAATTAAAACGGAGAAAAAAGAGGCTATTATTCAGCCATCTTGACCGATAAAGCTTGGAAGATAAAGGATTTATTGTATGGCAAAAATATTTCGTTTTAGTAAGAATCAAGAATCAAGATAGAGGCTGTTTATAGTCGCTAACTGTAGTCAACTGGATGAAATTGCTTGAAGCCTCGGGATGGTTTTGCCTATCTTGGAACCGAGGTGGGAAATGGAAGATTAATCATACGATTTCGATATTCTTGTCTGCTTTCCTGTCTCCATTTTTTTCCGTTTCTAGTCTTTCTTTTATTAGTCACATCTCAATGAGATTCCTTGTCCCATAATTAAACTTTCTTTATATGAGAGTTGCTGCTTGAATAACCCGTGTGCTCACAATGGAACCTGTCTCGACGGATATACAGAGAAAGAATACTTTTGTCAGTGCAGAGTTGGCTTCAATGGAGAAAACTTTGAAACGGGTTAAATCATTTATTACATCCGTATTTAAATCACGATGATCCTTGCAATCTGATTGTCTCTCATCGATGCGATTTGTATCAGTAATCACATGATTTCGAGTGCAATTTGGGATAATTTACCACTTGTACATTTTTTAAAGGCTAACCAAGTTGCACGAGCCCTGTGAGCGAATTCGATATGAATTTGCTTTCCTTTTGTGTAATGGTTTACCAGCTCGGTCGCGAGCCTCTACCTTGATGACGGAGTGGTCAAGCTTTTCCTCCTCCTGCTTCAAATCAGTTTTTAAAACCTCCCTCGAAAATTTTCGAGAGTTTGTATTTCTTCCCTGTAAGAAATTGTTAACTGCAGAAACCATCACAAGAAAGCTATCACGCTCGTAATCTTCCCTGTCTTTCATAAGAGCTGTTGCGTAAAACTCCTCGAGAACTTTATTCAGAGCCTTCTGTTCGTACTTTCATATCCATTTTTCGAAAGCACACTTTTAGCCAGTTGTTTTTCCCCTGGTTGGATTTTTTTAAACTCTGAATTTAAACGTTGTTACTTTCTCCTCGCCCGTCCGCCTTTTTGTTTTGTACCGCCGTCGCCACTTATCTGTTAATCAATTTAACTTCAACTTTCCGCACTCGATTTCAACTTCCTCCACTGTTTGAGAATATTTGCCGCGTTCTCAGCCAATGAGCATGCTGAATTTTTTGCCTTTGAAAAATTTACCCCTACTGATTTATTCCAAATTGCACTCGAAATCAAATGTTTATTTGTACAAATTGAACTCTTCTCAGTTCAATTACCGTTATAAATTTTCGCGCTAAATGGCTCTAAATTAAAAGCTCTTACATAATCAATTAATTGCAACCAAAAAAACCTCTGAAGAAGGGCGAACGCTCGAAACGTCAGCATTATAGATTCTGTACGTTGAATTCTTTACTTTATCAACTCAGTTGATAAAATCAAATTATTTTTAATACCCCCCACCGAAGCAGCAGTGTATTTCCTTCAAAAACTTTTCCCCCAAAATTCATTGCAAACATTTGTTAATCTGTGTGGCTGAGGAGACCGACCTTCTGATTTGCCTAAAGAAGAACTGATTGACTTGACACGCCAAACCTCTATATTGATAGATAATAGATAGATAAATAGAGGGAGGTATATGGTATATATATATATGTAGAGGTTTGACTACTCCATATATATAAAGGACTGTGAATATATGAAGGTCATATATTTGAACTGCGGATAAAGGCGTGAATACGAAAGTGACCCTCGCAGTAATGGACAGTACTTAAGCAGTAGTGAAAATAAGGCCTGGAAAAAAAATCAGGCCTGTACGGGATTTGAACCCATGACCTCTGCGATACCGGTGCAGCGCTCTACCAGCTGAGCTGACAAGAAACCTTTGTCCAAGATCTGCCTTAACTTGTATGAGAATCGTAAATCAGGCCATTTCCATAGACATTCACATGGAGGCAATCTCCCTCTACTCATTAATCGCTCACGGGCACTTTCGTGCCCTTTCAGTGGGTCGTATGAAATGGAAGTCGTTGATTGGTTCTCAGGCATCTTTACAGCCAGAATTCAACAAGAAAGGGTTTAATGCCCGGGGTTCTTCGTCTCATTCTGAACAAGCATTGGCTTTCCAGGCAATGAAAACGGTCACTGCTACACTTGGGATTCCAGACTCGGGTTTGGCACGGTTTCATGTGGAAACGTGGCCAGACACAGGGCTGATAATGGAGACATAGCTATCCAGGCAATGGGGTATATTTTGCTACAGTGACAGAAAGACAAAACCTCTTGACTGAACCCAAGAGCGATATGATTTCGGAAATATATATCTACTAAAAGATGTGCCATAAACTCATGCCTCTGTAAATCCACAAAAAAATAGAACAGAATCACCAATCTTCAGTAAATATGTGCGACTGAAAAGTCTTTTCCTCACTCTGCATTTCCTAAACATATGTGTGAAGTCTCACAAGCAAGCCAGAGACTACATTTAACTGACTGCAATTATTGCTACGTTTCAAACATGTCAATGAAGATGTTACTAGTTCTGCTCTTTCTTTGAAGCACTGATTTCGTCCATTTCTCCAATAGGTCGAATTCTGGCCTAAGCATTCCTGCTCCTGTGTAGAGTGAGACAGTCAAATAGGAAAGTGCCTTGCATAGGTACAAAGTTTACCCCAGACAAGGATCGAAACCAGAACTTAACCAGAATCAGGCATCTTCCCTCTCCCCTTCATTCCCCCTACCCCCCCCCCTCACCCGAACTTGATACTCTTACACCCAGGTGTTCTTTCAGAGGCGAGTTCGTCTGTTTTGAATTTTTGTATGTTACTCCAATAGTAAATTTTACAGTTGTGTGCTTGGTTGCCAAGCCTTTGAGTAAGAGTGAGGCTGAGGTCGACCTCGTTATGATACAAACTCTGCTCACTTTTCAGATGCAAATTACTTCGTTATCATGCTAACTAAATACTGGTCTCTATCACAACAAGGCTACCTTCAGCCTCAATCCAAATCAAAGGCTTGGCAACGAGGTACACAACTGTAAAATGGCTATTTGCTATATCTACGTTTATAGAGTTCATTACCAAATAAGAGCAAAGCTGACTCATTTTAAAATGCCGTCCACGCTATGAATGGAGAAGAAAATCCTTAATTTCCCAGACTTTATTTAAACGCCCTGAAAGTCTATATAGTGTTTTTAACCTAGTATTTTGATGCTATTCCTTCATTGAAATTTCCAAGGCTTTAAATATGCATGTTGTTTTGGCGAAAGATTAAGAAAAACAGTGTGCATATTTTCTTTCCTAGTTAAAATTTCGGCAACCGACTGACATCTTTAAAGACAAAGCTTTTAATTAAAGAGACTAAGATGTTATAATTTTACGACACCTTTTAGCAAATTACTTTAGGAAACAATGAGCCAAAACGAAAGAGTCCTGGAGAGATTATTTTTAGCTTTTAATTAGAACTGACAAAAACCAAATCCTTCTCCATTAAAACATTTCTTCTCAAATGAAACAGATTCTTATACAAGACAAGGAAATATTTCTCAAGTACC